GACCTTAGACAAGTTATTTAACCTCTTCGTTCCTCAGTTCCTTGGGCATGGTGGTTGTTTGAACCTCATGGAGTCGGCAGGATGATAAAATGAGTTAACGTATGTAAAAGAGTGTCTGGCACAAAGTAAGTGCTGTCTTATCATGACTGACATCTCCCCCAGCTTGTCTGTTCCCCTGGCACGATGCTCCCTTTGCACTGGGACGGGGTGGGGAGCAGAGGGACCTGCAGTAGGCGCCGGTACCACAAAGACTCGAGGGGCCTAGAAAACACTTCGCAGAGGAGCAGGCTCTTGAGGGCTGAGGTTGGAGACTGGATACAGTGTGGAACTATGGAGAAGGGCAGTTAGGGAACTGCTTGAGCAGAGGCGTGGGGATGGGAAAGGGTGGGGCAGATTTGGGGAATGGTCCCGGGGGTGGGGGTGGAGTCAGGGTTGATGAGGCTGGAAAGCTCACAGGTTAGGGGCACAGACTGAGGAGGGCTTTGGAAGCCAACCTGAAAAACCTGTACCTGGTGGGAGAGGTGGTGGGGAGCTACTGAATCTAGAAGGATATTGATTCTAGACACTGTTCCAGCTATCTCACCAAACCTTCTCACTGGCTCTGGTAGATGAGCTGATTTTCCAGGCTCACAATATACCCAGCTCATGACAATTTCCCTTACTGCCAGTGTTTATCCCTCTTGGGTCTCTATCTTTTCTTCTTGTACTGGCTCAAACTTCCAGAACAGTTTTCAATGGTAACAGGTTTCCTTGACATGTTTTTGATTTTAGTTCAGAATGTTTCAAGTATTTCACCAATTAAGTATGACATTGACTCAAGATTTAAGATTGATACCAGATCAAAGAAGTGTACTTCAGTTCTTATTTACCAAGAGGTATTTTAAGGAATTAGTATTGAATTTTAGCCAATGCCTTTTCCACAGCTTTGATATAATCATATGGTTTTCAACTTTTGATACATTACTATGATTTCCCAACCAGTGCTTTAATACTGAATCATCCTTGCATACCTGGAATCAACCTTATTTGTTCATGGTATATTATTCTTTGTAATATTGTTTGATCAATGAGAACGTAGATTTTTTTTGCATGGATATTAATAAATTGTGACACTAGCCTTTAATTTTCATTTTTATACACCTTTGTTAAGTTTTCATATTAGGATTATGCTAGCTTGGAAAAAAATGAATTGGCAAGATTTTCTTTAGTTTTATATATCCTGGAACAGTTTAATTACAAAAGTATGTGTCCTTTGAAGGTTTAAAAGAACCTGCCCCAAACAAAAAGAAACAAAACTTGCCTGAAAGCTAAATGGACATCTTATATAAAAAAATTATTTTAAAAAAGAACCTTTTCTATTTCTGCCAAAGTGATTGGGCTGTTTGTGTTTTCTCCTTCTCGACTTAATTTTGGTAATTCATGTTTTCCTAGAAAATTGTACCTTTTGCTAAGATGTCCATATGTATTAGTATAGAGTATCTTTACATTTTTTAATATCTTTTCCATTGTCTCTGGTTGTATCTTCTCCTCATTCCTTTTATTTTTTTAAAGATTTTATTTATTTGACAGAGAGAAACAGCGAGAGAGGGAACACAAGCAGGGGGAGCGGGAGAGGGAGAAGCAGGCTTCCCACCGAGCGGGGAGCCCGATGCGGGACTCGATCCCAGGACCCTGGGATCATGACCTGAGCCGAAGGCAGACGCTTAACGACTGAGCCACCCAGGCGCCCCTTCTCCTCATTCCTTATCTTGATATTTGTGTCTTCTTTTTTGGATCTTGCCCTAGGTTTGTCTGTCTTACTGGTCTTTTCCAATAACAATTCTTGGGTACATTTATTGTTGTGTGTGCTTTTCTCTGTTTCCTAATTCTTTATCTTCTGCTTTTTCTTTATCGATTCCTTCCTCCTCCTTTCCTTAGGTTCATTTTATTACTTTTTTTTTTAGAGAGGGGGGAGGGGCAGGAGAGGGAGAATCTTAAGCAGGCTCCACGGCCAGTGTGGAGCCCGATGTGGGGCTTGATCTCAAGACCCTGAGATCATGACCTGACCCGAAATCTAGAGTCAGATGCTTAACCAGCTGAGCCACCCAGGCACCTCATTTTATTACTTTTTTTAATCTGGCTTCTTGAGTTGGGTGCTTTGGTGAGGCACTGTATTTTCTGCTTAAGGGGTCAAAGTTTTAAAGCATGTGTAACACTGGCAGAAACTGTTGGGGTTCTGACCAAAGGCACGGCTTCTTGTTGAAGAAAGAACCCAGTCCCAGGAGGCAGGAGAGCTGCATTCCCATCCCAGCCTTGCCTCCAATCGGCTGAGTGTCCCTGGGCAAGCCCCTTCTCTTCCCACGACCCTTTTTCCCATCTCAGGCAACCAGACGTGGACCTCGTGAGGCTTGGCCCCCATGTGCTCCCTGCACCAGGCAGCCTCCTATCAGGATAACGCCATCTGTCTTTCAGGAGGCAGATTTGGCCTCTCTCTGATGTGGTTCTGGCTCCCACCCCTACACATATATGCACAAAAACTGTGTAGCTAAATTTTCTTCTGCACGACAGAGCCGATAAGCAATGGTCACGGTGTGGCCTGAAGGCAAGGCTCAGCTGAGGTGACGTAGAGCCTCTGGACTCACCGTCAGACGCCCAGCCAGGTGTATGTGTGTGGCAGTGGAGCAGAGTGGCTAAACACGTGACCTTTGTCACTGCATTTGTGGTTTGTCGTCATCACCAGGGACGTGAACCTGGGGATGGTGCTGGGGCTGGAGCTCCAAGCCCATCAGACCAGCTCCCGCCACGGCTGCTTTCTCTGCATGTCTCACAGTCTGGCCCCTGGCATTTTGATCTTGTACCAGCTAGCCTGACATGTAGGCTCACTCCGCTTCCTCAGATACCTTCTCAGCAGCCCTCGGGTCACCAAATCCCTGTGACCGTGTGCAGAGGGCTCCGTGTTGGGTGTGAGTGCTCTTCCCACCCCCGCCAGGATGCTACTTGAGGCAGAGGAGGGTCCTGGGCTGATGTTAGGAAACGTGGGCTGACGCACCTGCTCTGCGGCCTGTTCCCTGCGGGACCTGAGCCTGTTGCTCCCCACCCACCATGGGTCTCAGCTTTGCCATCTGCAGAATGGTGACAGGGTTGGTCCAGAAGAGCTTCAAGGGCCTTCCCTTCACTGATTCTTGACCACAAGTGGAGGGAATTTTATGAGCTCCCGAGAGATCAAGAGCCCTGTTGGAGCCACTTCTTTCATTCACTTAACAAATATCTGCAGGCCTCTGCCATTCTGACATTGGGTACAAAGACGTGACCCTGGAGACAGGAGCTGCCCTAGAGGGCTATGAGCGCAGGGTCAGAGGAGGAGGAGAGGGGGAGACATACGAGGGCTGGGGAGAAAACCTTCTTAAATGACCTTTATTAGAAGTGGTCAGTTCCATCGATTCCGGTTTTTTGTTTAATGTCAGCTCTTGTGGGGGCTCAGAGGTAGTTCATTTGCTCCCCTTCCAATGCCCCATATGAAGAAACACGAGCAATGCTTGTTTCACGTTGGGATGCCCAGTCTAAAGCCAGGGAGGTGGTGAGCGAGGTCAGGGGAGGCCACATGCCTTCTGTTCCATAAGGTTCTGGAAGGTAAGCAGAACCCCGTGAAATGAGGCAGCCTCTGGCTGGAGGCTGGACAGTCTTTGAAGGACTGGCACTAGAAAGGCTGTTGGTTTATCTGGGGAACGTTCACGGCCCATACTGTGTCCTGGCTTGGATTCTTTGGGGAGTGTTGATCAGAGGTGGTCTCTCTCCTTGGGCCACCTGCTAATGGGCTGAGCTCAGAGTCATCTATCTGTGGCAGTGCCTGCACCAAGTCGTTGGGCTCCAGGAGACGTTCCTGGGACCTGGCCTGGCTCTTCATGGTCGGGAACTGCCCTCACCCAGTCTCCAGTGTCCCTAATCAGAGGAGGTCAAGGTTCCACTTTCCCTCCCTTGTCCTAAGACCACCTCATTTCCCTCCTGCTTCCCAGGACGGCTGAAGCAGGTGTATCTCCTCCTTCCAGGAGCAATTGGCAATCCCACCCATAGGGCGGGGTCTTGTCCTCAGGGCCCACCAGCTAATCACCGAACAGTCAGATCGCCCAAGATCTGGGTTCCTGAGCCCCGAACACCCTGTTACATACACATAACTGGCGGTGCTTGAAAGGGCCGGAGCTCTGCTTTATCCCTAAGAGACAGCCAAAGCTCAGTGCCGTCTCCCTTACAGAGTTCTGCTCCCTGGGGTTTCTTCCACACAGCATGAAACCCAGCAGGCTTGGACACCCCATTCGTTCTGCCTTTAGTCAGGACCTACCAGGTGCCAAGCCCGGTGGTGGATGAATGAGGTGTCCCCCCTGCCCTCCAGGAGCCGGCAGCCTGCAAAGAGGTGAACACATACCCACCAGAATGTCTGCCCCCAATGGCCGAGGCCTTAATCTCCACGTCCCAGCTCCCAGAACAGTGTCAGGTGTGAGGAGGTACACTTCCTGCACCTTTGTCGAGTGAATGGCGAGCTCTAGGGCAAAGGAGGAAGGACTGAATAAGGACCAGACACACAGCTGAGGGTCTGAGGAGGAGGAAGAGGGAGGTGTTGGAGCAGGCCTTCGCGGGGGCGCGTGGTGTTGGGCTGCCTGCAGCTGGAGGAGAGGGTGCTTTGCGCAGAGGCGCGGCGGAAGCAAAGGTGTGGACGGGGAGAAGTCCAAGTCCCCCTTCAGCTCGCGCGCGGTGAGCTGGCCGGAGCTCCGTTCTCCCAGGGAAGCAGCAGAGCTGTCCTGGGTCCCTGCTGAGGGGAGCCGGGGTGGCCGGAGGGGTGGGTGTCTGTGTGCGTGTGTGCGCGCGCGTGCGCACATGTCTGCATGCGTGAGTGACGGGAGGGGGGTGGGGGCACACTGGTGTTCAGCGCCCAGACGTGACAAATGTGCAGATGTCCCAGGAGCTGTGGACATGAGCGGCTGGCCACGGAGACACTCACCCCGTGATTTGTTGCTTTGATTCCTCAGGCCGTGACTTGGCGAGCACGACCCTCCCCGGGTACCCTCCGCACGTCCCCCCCGCCGGACAGGGCAGCTACTCAGCACCGACGCTGACAGGGATGGTGCCTGGTGAGTTTGCACTGTCGGCGTCTCCACAGCAGGCAGCGGACGGGGTTTCGGGGGGGGGCTTCCCCCCAAACAGCCCGGGTGACCTCTACGCTTCTGAGAAGTGGACCTGAATAAATCAGGCAGAGGTCTGCACTCTCAGCCTCTCTCTCTGCAGCTGGGCCTTCAGTGGGGCCGGCAGTGAACTCGGGAAGGGGGGTGGGGACTGTCACTCAAACAGCCCCTTGGTGGCCACACAGATAGTCTGAACACAGAGGGGTGCGGGACCTGGCCAGAGGTTGCCCAGCCAGTGCTCAGTCGGGGTCCTCCGTCCTCCCCCACGCGGTTTGTGTGAGGTGAATACCAGGAGGCTTCCCCGCCCCTCCCCCCGACCCCCAGGGGCTCTCAGCAGCCTTACTCCTTGGGGTTGAGGACCATGTGCTCAGAACAGAGAGGATGTTGGCGGATGGGTTGGTGACTTGATTCTGAGCTGAACACCCCGTGGCCACGGAAGGAAACCGTATCCCCTCGGACCAGCGATGGGTCCGTTTCTTTAAAGACATTTAGAAAGGAGGCCGCCCTGTTCCCTCCACTGTAGGATGGGGTGGGAGAAAGAGCACATCATCCTGGTGCTGGCTGGCTATGTCCTCAGGGCATGAGAATAGCAGGAAACCCAAAGTATCATTTTTTGAAAGATGTTTAAAAAAATCAGGGGGTAAATCAGGACTGGGTTGGATGTGGTTACACTTCTTTTATTCTTTTAAGGGTTAGCATTGTTTCTTGTTCTGAGTCATTTACCTGGTGCCCGAGCCCCTCTTTCTAGCCCACCCTAGGAGTCCTGCCTAAGTAACCACATGCCTCTGCCAGCCTCCTCCATAGCCCATGTCGTGGGCGTGTGCGCCCCAGGCTGAGGACTGGTGGGGGATGGACAGAACCGAACCCGAGACGGGGTGTTCCCACCTCCATGTAAGGCCCCACAGGATGATGAGCCAAGCCAGGGGCGGGAAGGGACGCAGGGCGAATCCTAGCCTGGTTGGGCTTTCCCCACGCAGCCAGGTCCTGGCACAGATGCCAAGGAGTCCCAGAATTCTAAATTCACTCCTGGCCTTCCCAGTTGTTAACAAAGATGTATTTAACAAGGTAGGAGGACAGAGCATATTTCATTTAACGGTTTGTTAGCTTGATTTATGACTTTTAAATATGAGACATATGGGAAATGGCCTCTGTGTGTACTCGTGCCCTGGGCCTCACCAGGGCCAGGGAGGCCTGCCAGGTTCACACCTGCAAAGAGCCTTTGCCTCTCTGCTGGGGGGACGGGCGCATGGCAGAGCATCGGGAAACACTGTGCACAAGGCCAACAGAGGTGGGGGGGACCCAGACTCCTTCCCGCCCCTACTCTCAGGAGATGGAGCCCAAGTCCTGCCCCCCTCACAGCCCCTCATGCTTCCGTAGCACTTTATAAAAGGCAAAGTGCTTTCCCAGGAGCCCTTTATGGTTCCAACCCTGTGAGGTGGGCTGGGTAGGAATCGAATTCCCATTTTCCAAAAGGGGAAGCCGAGACTCAGACCAGTTGGGGAATCGCCCAAGGCTGCACAGCCGGCAGAGGGGAGGGCTTGAATCTGGGGCTTTGCCCAGCAGTTCAGCGCTCCTTCCTCTGTACTCCGCTGCCTCTGTGTGCTCTCATTCCATCAACACAAGCTTCTGCCGGATGGCAGGGGCCCAGGCAGCCGCCCCAGGCCCTCTCCCAAGGGCACACTGTCCGGTAAGGCTGAGGCCACCAGCTGGCCCTGCCGGCTCCCCACCGCAGACCCCAAAGAGGCCAAGTCTTGAGAAGCGGCTGAGCTTTCTTGAGTTTATCCAGAGCCCGCCCCTGGCCCCCGTGATTTCTCCAGGCCTAATTACTAGGCTCAAGATACAAATGGCTGTGGGCCTGGCAGAGACCCCAGTGGGAACCGAGGGCGGTTCCTCACCCATTAACGGCAGCCGCAGGAATCACAGGGCTGAACAAAGGTCCAGTCTAACCAAACCAGTGGCGGGACCGGTACTAGCATGAGGCATGATCAGTCAGTCCCCTGGCACAGAGGGACGGTACACCACGTGGAGGGAGGAACACAAGCATCTTGGCAGGGAGCCCAGGTCTGCCTCCCACTCTCTCCCTTTCTTCTCCGTTTGTTTTCTCTTCTCATACAGCCCCGCGACTCAGTCCCTTCCAGACCCAGTGTCAGGGCTGGGACCCCATGCTCAGGGGTTCCTGTTCCTCAGTGTCCAAACTGTGTCACATCTTTGGGATTGTTTCCAACATGATCATCAAACCTATTTTTGGAATGGCTTCATGGGGGCAGTGCTGGCCCACAGGCATGGTCTTCGCTGAACTGTCCCAGGACTGGCACACAGCACAGGGGGCCCACCTTATGGCACTGCGGGTCTTGGGCCTGCCATTCAGGCGTCACATAATCTGGCCTCAGCCTGCCTTTCTGGCCAGCTCGCCCAGCTGGTCCCTCCCCGTGACCACCCACTGGTTCCTTGCACACCTCACAGTCACATCCATCAGTGTCACTCCCATCTGTGCCCTTGGTTTCTGCTACTTCCTGCCCCTGCCTGTTGGGATCCAGCTTTACCCTTCAGGCGATGTGGAAACATCACCTGCCCCAGGAAGCCTTCCGGTTTGGCCCTCCCCCGGGGAGATGCTTGATACTTGGCTTTGTTACACCCCATGGCCCAGCCTGTGTGTGGCCCAGTTAGCTGTGCCACTGGATGGTGGGTCCTAAAGGCCAGGCCCTCTGCTTTGTCTTCTGTAGCCCTCACAGTCCCTAGCACAGAATAGGTCCTTCTGTGTGTGGTGGCTAAGGGAGGGAGGCAGGGAAAGTTAATATGGAACCGTGCATTAGTTCCGGTGACTGTCTTGCAGTCCTGGGGCCCAGGGCTGTGCTCCCTCTGGGGGTCTAGGGAGAGATCCATTCTGTGGGTCCTGGTGTTCCCTGCAAGTCTCTGTTCTACCTTCACAGCACGGAGGGGGTCACGTCTCCCTCTCCCTTGTTAGGATACACAGGACTGCATTTAGGGCCCAGCTGGATAATCCAGGGTACTCTTCCCATTTTAAAATCCTTAATCACATCTATAAAGGGAACCCCCCCACACACACACGCTCCTCCCTCCCTTTTTTTTGGCCCATAGAAGTAACATTCACAGGTTCCAGGGATTAGGGCATGGATATACCACAACCTGTTTGAGGATTTCCACTTTGTTCAGATTTCTGACTCAATCTCTTGGGCCTCTGAATCTGGGAGGCCTTCATTCAGTTGTGGCCGTGCTGAAGGGGATGCCATTTCACAGACCCCCAGGGGCATGTTCGTTGAGTTTGGAGAAACAAACTGAGCAAGACTTTAGGAGATTGTTTATCCTTCTTTTGTCTGAGGCTGTGACTTGGTAATTGTCTGTTTCACTATATGGAACAGTCCGTCTGCCTCCCCTAGCCGTGAATCCAGAGGGAGACCGACATCTTCTGACTTGTTTTTCCACGCTAGGTTTTTCAGAAATTTGGCCTCCCCCTCTTCTTTTAAGGGAAGACTTTCAGGTGTAAGGTTTCCTTGTAGACACATTGAGGAGGGACTGCCCAAGTGTAGTTGAACTTTTGGCCCTGAAAAAAAAAAATAGGCACCCCGTTTTTCCATATTAAATTCTAGCTTGTTGGCTTGGACTCTGTATTTTCCATCCTGATTCTGCCATCAGGGTGCTGTCTGATGTTTCCGGCTCCAGGGTGTTCCCAGGTCTGCAAAATGGGGCTTCTTGGTCTTCTCTGGTATTTGTAGATTCCATTTCTGCCTTCTGCCACTGTGCAAAATCTGTGAGCGCTTCGTCGATCACTTCCACTGAATAAAGCAAAGAGGGCACATTAATCAGCTTAGAATGGGAACAGTTGAGTCTTGTTTTCCTCGAGTCCCAGCAAATGCCACAAGTTTTGTACCGAAGATTCCGTGGTGTCCTGATCGGTACAACTAGTTGATTCCTGCCTGGAGATGTTTGTACAACCTAACAGATATCAACATGGTTTTTGAAACTCTTAAAATTTCCAGGCTGGGTGAGAAGGAAGGGTGCTCACTGCCCTTTGGCTTCAGTGAGTCTAAGCAGCAAGGAGACCGTCTTTGAGACGACCCAGTCAGGGACGCGCCCGTGTGCCCTCCACATGCCATCCCTCTGGGAGCTTTAGGCCCAAGTGCCAAGAAATCCCGACTGTGTCGTGTTTGCCTTCCTTGGGCTGCAGCAGACAAGAAGCTTGTTGGAAGCCCTAGAAGGCACACAGCAAGTTCCTCCTCTCCTGGGCGCTCTACTTGCCATGGGTTGGTGTATATCGTTTCGGGGTGCTTTTCAGTTACATTGCTCAGTTAACTGATGGATTTTCTTTTCATAAAGAAGGACGAGGGTGAGTAGAACAGGAACCTGAGGCCAGCGAGGAGGTGTGGAATGACGACAGCGAGAGATGGGCAGGCGTGGGGCCCGAGGGACTCTGGCGGTGGGAATGAGAGGCAGGTGCAGTTCTTCTCAGCCCCTCTCTGCTGCTCTTATGGGACCAGTCCTCGCCTCCCTGTGGGGTTCACCTCAGAGGGGTCTTCCCCGTAACCAAATGCGTATTAATTTCCTATTGCTAGTGTAAGGAGTTACCGCAAACTAGTGACTCAAAACATAAATTCATCATCTTATAGTTCTGGAGGTCAGAAGTCCAGAATGGGTGTCGGAGGGCCAACGTCAAGGTGTCGGCAGGGCTGTATTCCTCCCGGAGGCTCTAGGGGAGAATTGTTTCCCTGCCTTTTCCAACGTGTAGATATTCCCTGCATTCGTTGGTTGGTGGCCATGCTAGGCTGAATCTTTATGGTGATGCCATCTTTCTACTTCTCTCCAGCCTCCCCCTTCCACTTTTAAGGACTCGTGGGATTTTATTGGCCCCGCCTGGATAATCCAGGGTACTCTCCTTAGCTTCCAGCTAATTAGCAGTTCCTCTTTGCTATATCACCTGCCAGGCTCACAGG